TGTTAGCTTGTCAATTCTAGCATCTTGATTTTGCATGCATTTGGTCAAGCCAGCGATTGCTTCCGTCAAGTTTGCAACTGCTCCTCCATAGATGAAGTGTTTGTCACCATGGCTTGCATGATTGTTGTGGACGATGGAGAGTAGCATGGATTGTCACACAGATTGATCCTTGATTGGCTCATTCTATGTGGTGTAAGTGGGGAGGATCCATCACTTGAAGCATCATCATCTTCCTTCACATCATAGTGCTTGGATCCGGAGAGGTCAAGCAGAGCAAGAGTTTTCTTGATCTTTTCAGCAAGATCGCTTCCTCCTTCGGGTACGTTTATGGAAGATCTTGCTCCTTTTGAAGATGAAGATCCGTAAACAGGGGTAGATGCGGATGACACTTGGGGTTCTTGTTGTCCTAACGTGCTTTCTTTGCTCCTCGTAATTGGTCCAAAGCTTCCAAAGGTAACTTCGAGTATGTTTTCCACATCAACATAGAACCTGGAATTAGCAGCCTTGGTGGAAGTTGAAGTGGAGTTGATTTTCGTTGAAGCCATTTCGATGTTCTTGAACTTTGGTGATTGAAAAGTTGAGATGAGAGGTAGAGATTGTCCCACTGGGCGTTCCAGAATTTGTAGACAATTGCGTCAACAAAAAAAATAAAATCAAGACCAAAAAATATTGCAACAATCGTAGTATTTTATTTCGAATATTTGAGTGTTACAATCTCTATGGTTCCTCTGATTCTACTTTTCAACAGTAAATAAAAGAGCCTTCGAGCTTGATCTTGAATTTTATTTTATTTTAATCCAAGTGCTTGAGGCTTGATCTTGATCTTAACGTATTTTTAATCCAAGGGCTTGCAACTTCTTCTTGAATCTTCGTCTTGATCTTTTAATCCTTAGAACACTTAAATGCTTGTAGCTTTTAGAGAAATCTGCAGCGTTTGATCCACGAGCTCTCTCTTGCTTCTTGTTATAACTTCTGGTGTCTTTTCTGAGTTATGAAGACCCCTATTTATAATTGTGGAAAGGAGGAATTGTGATAAGAACAAACTCTTTCCGACCAATCAAATTGAAGTGTGACATGGCCGCATTTGATTGGCCACAACATGTCACTTGCACACGTGGCGCGGTTTCATGGGCCTTCTAATGTGACTTGGTATGCCTTGTCATTTTGACACGTGGCATGATCCTATTGGCTTTTTCGTTTGACTTGGCGCGCCACGTCAATTGACACGTGGCACCAAACTAGGCCTCTAGGAAGATGTCATCTTGGGCTTAATGAAGTGGGCTCATCACTTTTAGTCCAATTAAATGGGCTAACCCAATGTATTTGGACTTATTTATTTAATCCATATATATATATATATATATATATATAGTCCAATTATATAGCCCAATAAATTTATATGAACTAATATATCATGAATTTCAAATATAGTCCAAATTTAATTTATGAATTCTAAATTCAATACATTTTAAATGTCTACAATACGTCTACGGCCTCAGACTTAAAACTCATGTGTCGGACTTAATATATATATAGAGAGAGACAACTACAACAACAAGCCCAGTTTGATCCCAACAAGTGGGGTCTGGGGAGGGTAGTCTGTACGCAGACCTTACCCCTACCTAATTCAGGTAGAGAGGTTGTTTCCAATAGACCCTCGGCTCAGGAAGGGCAAGAAGAAGAAGAGGAAAGCAAGGGAGGAAGAAAGATGGAAGATAAAAAATAAAAAAATAAAAAAATAAAAAATAAAATAAAATCTATACTATATTAAAAGCACGAAGGCCCTTTAAAAATATATTATATATTGGATAAAATAGTAACTTAAATTATTTGCCTAAAATTTAGGGCTTCAAAATTAACTATTTTTGGTATAGTAAATACTTCCTTGTTTAAACTAGGTATGAATCCTAATTTATAGGACTTACTTTTATCACGTTTGTTTTTTCATTTCTTTTATTAATAAGGGATAATGTGCTTATTATATTTTCAATTCTAGATTATTTAATAAAAGACTAAAATTTAAAACTAACATTTTTTTCCATTTTAAAATTGATCTTTATAAGCAAAAACGAAAATTAATGTTAATTATTATATAAAAAAATACTTCATTTAATTATTTTTATAATTATTAGAAGTTAAAAATTAATAAAACTATTTTTTATTATTTGGACTAAAATTTCTAATACATAGAACTTTAAAATATTAAAATTTTGCTTTATATAGATCATTCACTTAAATTATGCGGGTTGTCTTATGCATGGGACTACCCTTTTTTTAATCCTAATTCTAAGTCATTCTCTGGAGTTAATATGTCATGGAAAGTCTTCTTTCAATTATAAATTCTCTCACAAGCTTGCTTTAGTATCCTTTTAAATGTATTTTTTTTTTAATTTTCATTGCTATTTAATTTGATTTTGTGATCATATGAAAGTTGTAGATTATTATTTGCATGATTATATATTTTAAGTTATCCTTTAGCATTATTCAGGTTTTTAAGGACTTGTTCTTGCTGAAACTGAAAAAGGAAGCATGATAACTTGTGAAATTAAAGTTCTAAGGTTTTTAAGGACTTGTTCTTGCTGAAACTGAAAAAGAAAGCATGATAACTTGTGAAATTAAAGTTATAATATTATTAAACTGAAATAATGTTTAAGTTGAGTTATTGACTTATGATTGAGGATTTTTACGAGAGCTTCTTTATTTATTGAGTTATTATGCACATTTAACATATATAATTATCTTTAGGAACTTATACTTTTATTTTATTATTTAAACATAAATTTTGAATCAATTAGTATTCATTGAGATAGAATACACGCGCATCGCGCGTACCTTGAGTCTAGTAAAATAAAAAGGATAAGTGGCACCAAATAATAGCAACAGGGAATACAATACCCGAGGCGAACAAAACCACATAACCTACTAAAATCTAAGACTATGAAGGGACTCGCCTACTACTAAGACTATCAGTGAACAACTATAAACTACCAACTAACCTTCAACCTTAATCCTCGACCTCCACCCTCTCCTATCAAGGGTCATGTCCTCAGTGAGCTGAAGCATCGCCATGTCCTGCCTAATCACCTCTCCCCAATACTTCTTAGGCCTACCTCGACCTCTTGTCAAACTCTCCATGGCCAACCTCTCACACCTCCTAACTGGAGCATCAATGCTTCTTCTCTGAACATGTCAAAACCATCTCAACCTCGACTCCCGCATCTTGTCCTCCACGGAGGCTACTCCCACTCTGTCCCGGATATCTTCATTCCTAATCCTATCTCTCCTGGTACACCCACACATCCATCTCAACATCCTCATCTCTGCTACTCTCATCTTCTGCACGTGGGAGTTCTTGACTGGCCAACACTCAGCCCCATACAGCATAGCCGGTCGAACCACCACTCTATAAAACTTACCCTTTAGTCTTAGCGGCATATTCCTATCACACAAAACACCGGAAGCAAGCCTCCACTTCATGCATCCCGCTCCAATACGATGCGCGACATCTTCATCAATCTCCCTGTTTCCCTGGATAATAGACCCGAGATACTTAAAACTCGCTCTCTTAGGGATAACTTGAGCATCAAGCTTAACCTCTACGTCTGCATCGTGGGTCCCGTCACTGAACTTGCACTCCAAGTATTCCGTCTTGGTTCTACTCAGTTTGAAACCTTTAGACTCCAAGGTCTGTCTCCAAACCTCCAACCTCGCGTTAACTCCGCTACACGTCTCGTAAATCAACACTATATCATCGGCAAATAGCATGCACCAAGGCACCTCCCCTTGGATGTGACGCGACAAATACATCCATCGCCAAGGCAAATAAAAATGGGCTAAGAGCCGATCCCTGGTGCAACCCCATCACCACAGGGAAATGCTCCGAGTCACCACCCCCAGTCCTCACCCGAGTCTTAGCATTATCATACATATCCTTAATCACACTAATGTACGCTACAGGAACACCGCTAACCTCCAAACACCTCCACAGTACCTCCCTTGGAATTTTATCGTGTGCTTTCTCAAGGTCAATAAACACCATATGCAAATCCTTCTTCCTCTCCCTATACTGCTCCACTAGTATCCTTACCAGATGAATTGCTTCCGTAGTCGAACGCCCCGGCATGAATCCAAACTGATTCTCGGAAATAGACACGCACCTTCTCACCCTAGCCTCCACCACCCTCTCCCAAACCTTCATAATGTGACTCAACAGCTTGATACCCCTATAATTATTGCAATTTTGGATATTACCCTTGTTCTTGTAAAGCGGAACCATCGTACTCCACCTCCATTCTTCGGGAATTTTCTTTGTCTTAAAAATAACATTAAACAGCCCAGTGAGCCACTCCAAACCTGCCCGCCCCGCACTCTTCCAGAATTCCATCGGGATTTCATCTGGCCCCGTCGCTCTGCCCCTGCACATCTTACGCATCGCTCCTTCCACCTCCTCTACCGTAATCCGCCTACAGTACCCAAAATCCCGCCGACTCTCGGAGTGCTCCAACTCACCCAGCACAATGCGTCTATCCCCCTCCTCATTCAACAGTTTATGAAAGTATGTCTACTATATGTTATTTCTTAGATAAATGTCTACTAGCCGTCTTTTATGGGGCATTTGCATCTATACCCGCTTTTTGTGCCACATTTTAACTTTTGCCCGCTTTGCAAAAAAAAAAGTTGCAAGTGTACCCGCTTTTTCGCATAACTTCAGCACACGGGGCTGAAGTAGCAAAGACAATCATGCAAAACTTCAGCATTCTAGTAGCCGGGCCTGAAGTTCAGCTCTAGAACTAAAGTTTTTGTGTTATAACTGGGAAACTTCAGCTCTAGAGCTGAAGTTTTTGTGTTGTAACTGAGAAACTTAAGCTCTAGTAACGACAATAAATCAGAAAACTATCAACTCACCAACCCAGTGGGACTGCAGCAATGCAAGTATCATTTAACAATTCAAGAGCAAACTAGTTTTTGCAAGCCTCGTGCAAAGTCAATATCACCACCCAAAACATAAAAAGAGAGAGTTTACCATTAATATACAAAAGCATAAAGCTCTCTCGAATCCAAGAATATAACTAAACTAGCACAAGCAGCATATAGACTGATATAAGAGCGATCCATAATGAGTTCATAGTATCCAAAATGGTACCACCACCAGTCTAACAATTATCTAACAAGTATGGAAGTCCCAAAATATAGATGGCTATTCTACTCAGATAGTCACCAGCACTCCAATCAAAGATAGAATCATGTGTGTTAAGAGCTTGCTAAATGAAACAACACTCTTATATACAAACATACCACCTATTGAAATAGTCAACTAAGTTCCATCAGTGGGCAGTGCTGCCATGAAAGAATTGTATGAGGATTCCAGATCAAAGTGGAGTTGACGAGCCTGCTGTTCTGTCAACTCATCTGCAGCCCCCATCTTCGACAACCTTGAAAGCCACTCTCTCATCTTTGTCTTTCCCTCAAAATCCACCGGCAGAATCGACAGCTTATTGAGGGAAGATGAGAGCTCTGACAACAGGGGATGGACCTGGTCAACTGCAACCATGTTCAACTTCAACGAGTCCATTGCAGTGATGAAATTCTGCACACACTCGGCCACAACAGCAGCTGAAGTTACAGCTGACATTGAAGCAGCAGCTCGGTGCTCTACAGTAGCTGGCACACCAGAGGTCACAAGCCGGTTTAGTGCAGCAGGGCAATCCATTTTGTAGGTGTCATGAAATCGATCAATGTTAGGTACAGCATCTTTCAATGTAGAAGATAAGGTCTTGAACTGAGCAATCAGTTTCTGGCACTCAGTTTCATATACAGCTGGTGAAACGATGTCACGAACATAAGCCTTCTCTAGCTTCTCTGTCGCTTTGATAATCGCAAAGAGCTCACCAAAGTTGTCATACATTTCCCTTTCACGCTTGTCATTCCATAGCTTAACCTCCATCATTGTTTTCAAGTATAATTTTGAAATAGTAAACCTTTTCAACAGGGTTGGAGAAGAGAATGGGACACGCGCAAAGATGCCAATCTTTGTCACTGAAAAAATATCACAACCTAAGATTACATCATTGCTATGACTAACAAATCCTAAAATTATAAAAACTAGAATGTAGCTGAGGTTAATTTTATGCTTATGGGACTGCAAGCATACAAACATATAGACATATCCCTAATATTCATCTAAGATTCCATTATGAATGAGAACAAGTACAGTTACCTCAGTCAGAATGCATTATAGACAATCACACCTTCCACCCACGCCGCACAAATACTGTATAGATTCTCTTATACTTTCTAGTTGAAAACGTTCTCAGCTTTGATTATATATGCAGAGATATTACAGGATGTTCCTAGTTGTCTGACAGAAGCTCTGCTTCAGCTCTAATTAGCTAGAGAATGATTTCTATAAATCAGTAGATACAAACAAAAGTTAGACCATGACCCTAAACAACAACTAATAACAACTTTTAACCATTCTAGTCTTGGCTTTATAAACCAAAGCCAAATATGAGGGAAAGAGCAACGACAAAACAATGCGGGATAGGGGATAAATGAAAAATCCAAACTACCGAGGCCAAGGCCTAACTTTTGTGAAGTCCATCCAATGTCAAGACAACCTTTTAAAGTGTGTAAACAAGATAAACACACGTAGATACACAGTTAAATAGAACTATCATGACCACATGAATTAAATTAAACCACTTAAACCTTAATCCATTAACTTGGAATCACCCATGTGAGTCTATTTCTCCATTCATGGTTCAGCTCAGACTTTCCTCTCTTTCCACCACTCTTTCCATAAGTATAGTAAAGCATTGGAGCAAGCTTAATCAAGTTCACATAAATGATCATACAAGAAACACTACTTTCCACTACATTTGCCACTTTTTAAAATTTCTTCATTTGTTTTCAATCTTATCCCCTTTCACCCATATCCATTTGATAGATCAGTTTTAGAAAAAACTTTATTTCATAAACTCATTGCATCTGGTTTTCTTAATCTTCTTTCTCAAGAAAAGGTCTTAATACGCGAAACTGGACTTCACCCAAGTATGCACAGTAAAGTTCCAAGCTTTTATTAGCAAAAAGGAAATAAGACAAAACACAATGATCACTGGTATGACATCTCTAGAGACACTGTCATTGAGATTAAAATATAAATACAACACATAAACTTCAGCAAAGTAGAGGAAACTCAGTGAACTCCAATTTATACTAACCACATTAAACTATTGAAACCTTATTCAGCGCAAAAGGAAAACATTACGGGGTCGTTTGGTTTGAAGATTAGTTATGCTGGGACTTGTTATCGTGGTATCATTTTTTATTGACTGTTCGGTATGTTGTATTAATCCTGGAATAGTCAAATTTACTGTTTTATCCTAGGATAATTAGCTACCTTCATTAGGTAGTGGTAGGGTAAGGTCTGCGTACAGACTACCCTCCCAGGTGGGGATTTGGGAATATACGGGGTCTGTTGTTGTTGTATCCTAGGATAACTTATCTGTGGTTACTATTCCACTCTCTGGCAGGTATAAGTTATCCCAATACTACTTTTTTTAAACCGTTTACCAGCATTGAACCTTCGACCTAGTAGTTTGGAGAGAGCTCCCCAACCACTATGAACAAGGATGGCCAGTTATCCCAGTACTACTTTTAATCCTGAGATACTTATCCCGAGATTAGCAACCAAACAATGGATAAGGCGATACTAAATTTTTATCCCAGAACTATTTTTGCTTATCCATCATATCAAACGACCCCTAAAAGTAGCATAATTGCTATCTGCATCCACTAACTTAAAATCTTAAATTTACTCTATATTCAAAAATAATTTAACTAAAATCTTCGTATTCTACCCCTAATGAATTTATTTAAAGTCACAAAAATGTATTTTTTACACCATAAGTTTTAAAAAGTTTTTTCATTTTTCTTAAACTCCGTGGCCAATCGTCACATAAATTGAGCAGAATAATATATTATAGACTTAAACAACAGTGCTTTCATGAACGTGGTACACAGAGATTAAAAAAAATCCCAAAACACCCATTAGCTAAGAAATGTATGAAATCAACCAAAAAAGAACACAAATCTAAATGATGTGCTACAGTTGCCAAATCAAATTAACCTAAAACTTAAAGTAAACCCCAAAAATAATTAAAAAACAAGGAGATTTAGAAAAAAAACGCAATTAGAGAATATGCAATACAGTATAAAGTATAAGAATACATAACCCAGATGAAACTAGTTAATTACCTCAAAGATTAGTAACATGGCGAGCACCGCAAATCAAAGAAATTTGGGCTGGTGAAAAAATAATTAGGCAATTGTGTGTGTGTGTGTGTGTGTTATAAGGAGAGAGATAGAGACGTATGTATGTACAGAGGAAAGGAAGAAGACATGGGACGCGGCTTTGAATAACGGGAAGTGTGTTGCAGTCCTCCTAATATTGGTTGCGTGTTGAGTTTGCTGATTTTTCTTTTATTTAACTAATCCTCCACTATTCCAAGTTTCATTGGCTATATTATTCTCAAATTTTATATTTACTTTTTTTTTATTATCAGGTGTTCGATAGTTGGAAGGCGAGCCTCGGAGCAACGGTAAAGTTATCTCCATGTAATCTATAGGTTATTGGTTTGAGTCGTGGATTAAGACATTGATGTTTGCATCGAGCAGTATTTTAAAAGGTGTTTTCGGGGCGAGGCGCACCAAAATTACCCTGAGGCAATTGTGGGGAGCGAAAGTCATAAGGGGCATACGCCTGAGCGTTGAGGCATGTTTTTAAAGTGAGTCGTAAGCTCGACATACTTTTTTAAATTAAAATAAAATTTGTTGAATAAGTCCTTAATATAATACCCTAATTTTCAAAAGTCAGCTTGTAATTACTCAAAAGTTTTAAAAAGGAACAGAAACATTAAATTTAGAAGTCAATACCTTTTTTATGGCTAGAAGCCCTTATTTATGGTCTTTCCCATTTTTTTTTATTTTGTCCACTAGTCTGCTACTATCTCCCAAAAGCAATGAACATTTATTTCTTTTTTTTTTTTACAAATACAAAGAAAACTTCATTCTCCCCCATGACATGACAGCAAGTTTAAAGTTCAAATTGCAAGTTAGTCATCATTTTTGTTCATTCATATAGAAAACTTTATTCTTTTCAACTCAAGTTACTTGTGCTTGCAAGTAGCAGATAATGAATAATTTTAACTAATTTTTTTGTGGGGACGAGAGCATATATATATATATATATATATATATATATATATATATATATATGTATGTATAGATTTTACTTATTTATAGTTTCTTCACTTTCTATGCAATTTTACCTATTTAAATATATTTATTGTAATTATATTATTTTCTAAAATATTAAAAATTAAATACTCATGGGGCTTACGCCTCGTTGAGGCATATGTAAAACGTCTCGCTTTGCGTCCACGCCTTTTAAAACCCCTGACATCGAGGTAGGTTGCCTATATTATACCCCTTAAAGTGCACCCTTAGTTTGCCTACTTTTTTTGTGTTCAATAGTTGTTTTAAGACTTAACTAATTTAGTTTCGCACTATCTTACTTCGAGTAAACTGCTCACCACATAAGAAGCTAGCGTTTGGCCATAGATCCCAAATTTATTTTTAAAAAAAACTAATTTTGGTGAAGTTTGGTTTGAAGATGAAAATGTGTTTGGACATACATTTTCAAAACATATTTTTCAACTTTATTTTGGAAAAATATGTATATAATTCCCAAGATTACATTCCCAAATTCATCCTATTGAATAGTTCTCCGTTTCAAGAATGACGAAATCCTAATCATTCATCTCATTACACTCATAGGTGGTAAATATTTACTAGGATATACTTCTATTGTTAAACTAAACCAATGAATACAAGATTTTATCTTGCATATACACCGTCATTCTTTAACCATAGTTGAATATGCTGTAACTTTTAATGGTTAAGATTGAATCATTTGATTTAATGTAAACACAAAGTGCAAATAAATATTTGCATTCATAGGTGTTTCGTGAATTTCACTAATTTAATATCCACTTTAAGTTTTTCTTCTTTTTTTTTTAATTAAATTCTGAAAGTTCTATATTTTTCTTTTTGTTTTGTGTGTCCAGTATATTGTCCAATGTTTATCATTTTCTTTTCTTTATAACATGCATCACGTTTAATGTTATTTCACTAAATAGTAATAGTGTCACATAAGGGGAATACAACTTTATAGACTATTATATTTTTATATTTATTACATTATTTAAATTTTTAATTATGATATGATGTTTGTCTATCAAACTTATGTAGTAAGAACTAACTATTATTTTAATATTTCATTTTTACTTATTATATTTAATAAGGCATGTTAACACTTTTAACTTTTTACACAACCAAATAATATCAAATAAATATGAAAGGAGTAAAGTACAATTATTCTCCGCACCAACTTCTATCTACCCACTGTCCCTTTCAATTTTGATTGTGAAACTAAAACTGTTGCTACCTCATCTTTTACAGCCATCAGAACCACTTGATATTGGTAACTCTTATTTTTTACTGTAATATAAATATATAATAAATCAAATGTTCGATTTTTTTTAGTCAAACTTTAAAGGATCTCTAGTAGTGTATGGGGTCGAATTTGACCGACCACGTCCCTAAGCCAGTACGACCGACCGAATATATGTGAGTCCGGCTAGAAGGACGACTTAGGAATAATAAGAGGGACGACTTCATAATCACGTCGGCCCCTCTATAGCATGTACTTTATTTCCGTCTTTTAATATTTAAATAGGGATCCTTTCTTATATATAGAGGGGGTTGAGCTTTGTAAAGGCGGGGATCTTTTGATTAAATATACAAACTCTCTTGCTCTCTCATCTCTCTAACATTGTCTCTCTCTCTCATTTCTCTAAGATTGTCATCTTCTCCCTCTCTCCGATTTGTATTATTGTTATCCAAACCAGTCACGAAGATCATCCTAGGGTTTATTATCTTCGATTACGATTTACCCCTTCATCTATATTGATTGATTTGCTTAGAAAGTGTTCAACAACTTTTGAGTCAAATAATTTGGCGTCGTCTGTGGGGATTTCAGTAGTCGAAATCATAGTTCACATCTAGGATATCGAAAACAACAATCACTGTTCTCCAGACTTCATAGAAACTAATAAATGGCAGATAAAGAATGAAGGCTGAAGATGATAGCAGATGTCTCAACCAACCTCATAGGCCCACTCAACGAAGCCGGTAGAGAAAATACCACGAATGTAACACCAAGTGGTGTACAGGAGGGGGAGATCTCGCCCTCTTCGCTCGAAGATCTAACAATTTTGCATGAAAGAGGGACTTCGACATCTGCAGCGAAGGAAACGCCCCCAGTAGTCAAAAAGCTACTAGAGGAATGGTTGACGAACACTTTAAGTAGCATGCTCGAGAAACCACCTCAGGGAAATATCAAAGATTCGTCAACGGCAGAAATCGCCGTTGCCGCTGGTGAGCCTAATGTTGTACGAACAAGTAACGCCCACACCGATACCAATGCAAGCGAAGACGCGCTCGCAACCATCCTTAAGAAAATGGAAGAAATGGAGAACGAGAATAAAGCGCTTCGTGATCAAATGAAGGAGCACCAGGAAAGGGTAGACAAGATACCTGGCGCCCCTAAGCTACTACCGAAACGCGATGTGGGAAGGTTCGTCGAGCAACCGTATAGTGAGGAAGCTGCTCCTCACCCAATCCCTAAAACATTCAAGATGCCACCGTACTTGAAAATATACGATGGGACCACGGATCCGGAAGACCATCTGATCCATTATGTGACCGCCATAAAAGGCAATGACCTATCGAAAGAACAGGTGCCATCCGTGCTGCTGAAAAAGTTTGGTGAAACTTTGACAGGAGGAGCGCTAACATGGTACTCTCAACTGCCAGCCAGATCGATATCGACGTTCGAAGAGATGGCGGACAAGTTCGCCACCGCTCATGCAGGAGCAAAGAAGGCTGAAGCTAGGTTCAACGATATCTTCGCCATCAGGCAAACAACGGGTGAAGGACTTAGGGACTTCCTGGCTCGATTCAACAGGGTAAGAATGGGACTGCCAAACGTATCAGAAGCAATGGCGGTCGCAGCTTTCCAAAACGGGTTGAATAGAGACGGATCAAAAGCAACCAAGAAGCTGCTCAACCGACTCATGAAGTATCCCCCCACCACATGGGAAGAGATTCATAATGCCTATTGCGCCGAAGTGAGAGCAGATAAAGACGATCTTAACGGTCCAACCCAATGACTAACGTTAGTACAATCAGAGGTAAAGAGGGATCGACGCAACGACGGACAACGGGAACCACTCCCACGCTTCAATAGAGAAAGGCATCAGCCTTACGTCAGAACTCCCAATCCGCCTCCTCCAAGACATCTAGATGTCGTGCAGCGACATGCCGCCCCGCTTCGGAATGAAAGAGGTATGCCCGCATTATTATCCGCTCATAACTTTTGTGTCTCCCCTTCAGAAATAGTGTACGCACTGGAGAAGCTGGGCACGAAGGTGCAGTGGCCACAAAAAATGAAATCAGATCCTAGTGCAAGGAGGTCGAACGTCCTGTGCGAATTCTATCAGGAAAGAGGACACAAGACCGAAGGTTGCATAGGTCTAGGACAGGATGTGGTCAGAATGCTGAACCAGGGATACATGAAGGAGCTGCTCAGTGATAAAGGAAGGGCTAATTTCGCCAGAGGATGCGACCAATCCCAAGGACCACCAAAACCACCTTCTCCAGCACGCACCATACAGATGATCGTCCGTGGTGGCGACGACTCGGCAATCAACCATGTAAGTTCACCACCACACAAGCTGAAGCGCACGATCGCTCACAAACGGTATGATGACTTATAAAATAGTATCACCTTCGATAAGTCTGATGCCGACGGTTTGTCTTTCCCTCATTACGATGCTTTAGTTATAACTTTACGTATTGCTGATACTGATGTGAAAATAATCATGGTAGACGACGGAAGCGGCGCGTGTATTGTCCACCCAAGAGTCCTCATGCAAATGAGGCTCGAAGATAAGATAATACCGCGTTGCATAACACTGACGGGTTTTAACAATGCAGTAGAGCGAACCTCCGGAGAGATATCACTGCCAGTCTTGGCGGGAGGAGTCACGCTGGAAACCGCATTCCACATCATGAATCAGGAAACAGCCTACAACGTCATCATAGGGCGTCCATGGATACAGGCCATGCGGGCCATCCCCTCGAGTTTCTATCAAGTAATCAAAATTCCCACCCCATAGGGAATATTCAACATTCGAGGTGAGCCGCGTACCGCCCAGGAATGTTACCGAATCGCCCAAGACTGCACACATACCAAACAGCTGAAGGGAGCAAGCGCGGAAGCATAGCAATCAGCCATGTCGGGAACCAAAGTCAACCCGAC